CCTTCATATTCCACCGCAAGAATGCATCACGCCTTTGGACAGCTTCATGTCTAGCCAACCAAGTAACCATCTGAGACCGGAAATTCCGCTTGTTTGTAGCACGGTATGCAACTTTGGCGAAGTTGATATGCAAGCGCTCTGATGACTCCGAATTAAAACCATCAGCTGTTCCCCGAGAACGAATACTTTCGGAGTAATGCGACACATTATGAAGTTTGCTGATGTTGAAATGCCGACGTATCCCAAGTTCCTCAAAAACCGCCTTATACTTGTGAAAATCGCTCCAAGCAGCATCCATTGCGTCCAAAGACTGGTCGGTATGTACCTCCCAATGTGCATAGTACATAAAATCCTCAAAAGCCCGGACAGCTTTCAAGACACGCACATCCGCAGCACCAGCCAACATAGCAGGAAAAACCTTTGCCATGGCTTTGTACTCGTTTCCGGTCCACTGTGTTACCCGAGATATGCCTTTGGAGAATTGTTTCAAAGTGGGATGAGGAGTCATGGTGCGAAATCTGCTGTCAATCTCTTCTTTGCCCGAATTAATGGTGTTTCGTGACCACTTTGATACATGGTCCCCAAAGAGGCCTTTGTGCAGTTGGTGAAGCAAGTCCGGCGTCATACAGTCAAAGATGTTACAGTGGGGTAGGTTCCTCCAGAATGGATTAATCGGGCGGAGAGATTCGTTTTGAAATGCTGCAGGTTTGAGTCCTTCGGATTGGTCAAGCAACACCCCAAAGGTAGTCTCTGGATTCCGCAAAACACTATGCAGTAACTCCCCTCTTTGGTCAGGATTAGCAGTGCATTTCGGGCAGCTATTTTCCCTGCAGCAACAAACGAGACACTGTTCTGGATAATCGGCAATATATGCGGCCAGTAACGGGAACACGAGGCGCTCGTAACCATCAGCGCAGATCATTTTAACACCTTCACGGCCAGCTCGTTCAAGAGGCTCGAGGATTATCTTCATGCAGTCATGAAAGAGTTGATACCCCATCTGCGAACGCTCCTTTCCCGAGAAACACTCCAGCTTCGAAGTTGGAATATATCCAAGGAGTAGGAAAGCTCGTGATGAAGGTTTGCGCCTAATTCCTTTCTCAATATTTCCGATACTGAGATATACAGGCCATGCCTTCTTATCACCGCTGAATGTTGAGAGCTGTGTTTGGTCGGATGCGATGATGCCAGGGGCAACAGTACCATAATTCTCGGGTAATTTTTCCTGAAAAATGTATTTTGTAAGTTTGCCTCTTGTTACTGCTGCGACACTTACCTGCACATTCCACCACCAATTGCAGGTCCACATCTCACTATACTCCCGATTCGTATGTGCTTCATCCCGAAAGTAACGTATTGGAGAATAGCACTGGTGGCCATGAAATGCAGGATTTCCCATGAGCTCCCGTACAACCTCGACTGGATCACGGTGCCATATCTCCAGTATTTCAGTCTGGGGCTGACCATCAGCGTCTTTTAGGTCACCCTCAACCCGCATTGGTGTACAATTAAACCTGGGTCCACGTTCTAGGGTGTCAATGAACTGAAGGAAGGACCGACTATTATGGAAGGATGGTGAAATATCTCTTGTCTGTGTATCTTATTAGCTTGGACCATGATTTATTCACGAGTTACATACCGTCTCAAGCTGACAAAATTCATCAATCTTTGCTCTACTGACACCTGACGTCATCAGCCAATGAGCAAGCTTCCATTCCTTTTCGGATGCGAATGGAAACCAAGGCTCTGTCCCTTCAGTCTCTTGTTTTAACCGCTGTCTTTCAAAATCTGTAAGAACTGGTTTTGAACCAAGAGGTGATCCTGCTGGACCGGGGAATGGAACTGGATTTACATAATCTGTGCTGGTGTAGATGGACCTTGGATCACCGGAATTGTCGTCCTCAACATCTTCGACTCTGGTGCGTTTATTGGTATGCGGTGCTTCAGTGCTTTCCCCATCCCGCTCATCTGGAATATCTTGGTCTGTTGATTCGGGTATGAAAGGTATATGTAGCTCGTTATCGGAGTCATCCGAGAATGTAGTGCCAGTAATTGGAATTACACTTTGAGGCTCGTCAATGTCAGAATCCGGTTCATTGAAGGCTTCCTTGTCTTTGTTGTTACAATACTGTGTCAATGTGATGTGTGCTCGCAGAGCCTGGATACTTGTAGTGTAGGTGTTGCAGTATTGGCATCGGGGCATAATGGCTCGAGAGAATGGTCCGATTGCTGTGTAGGTCTTAGGGTACCGCGAAATTTTTGTACCCGACTCAGGGATCCAAAACTGACTCGCTTATATCTTTGTTTCGAATTTCCTCCATGACTAGAGGTATACGTGGACGAAAGCTTCCTGCCACTGAAGCTACTGAGCCCGATGATCCTGAAGACGGACTTGAGGAGGAGGACCAGAATGAACTGGTACCATCAAAGCGCCCTCGAACTTCAAACAATAGCCGCAGCCGTCAAACTTCGAGCTCAGGTGAGGCATTTTTATATCTGCTCTGTGCTACCTTTTATGACCAATGAACCCTTAGGAAAGCATAAAAAGAGCAACAGTGTCGACATTGCCTTTTTACAGCGGCAGATGCAGTCTATTCAAGAGCAACTGAAGGGTAAAGTTTACTTTTTTGATGAGTATTCAGCACTAATGATACTCCTAGAAGCCAACCAGGGAAACAGTGACGAGGATGAGAATGAGCCTGGGGGCTTTGAGAGTGAAGACGACATCAATAATCCTATATCATTTACTGCTGCATCAGCGGTTTGTGTCATGTCTGAATTTATGACTTTGATTTAAAGCTTACCCTCATTACAGATTACACCAATGACGACTATAACACCACTAACCTCTCCTCCAGTCAATCTCACCCGAGTTCACCGACGAAATAACCGTCACCTCCTTCCAGCCCGAATTCCCCGACATGCGTATCTGGCTACCCCTTTGGATGAATTTGACGGCGACAATAGTAATGAAGGCACCGTGTCTTCACCCAGTACTCAAGCTCTGATTTCGTCACCAGCAGCTCTTTCGGCTCTGCCAATTTTGCAAACCAATTCAAACTCATTTGGACAATACTCTAACCATCTTGTATTTGCTCATAATTATGTACCAGGGACTACCAAACCAAGGGCGGCTGACTACAATGCGGATGTCACTCGGGAAGCGGAGGAAGGATCTCCTATTCTGAATTTGGGAATAAGGGATGGTGTCGCGGCAATACAATGGGTGAAGCAACATATTTCAGCATTTGGAGGGGACCCAGATAAGGCAATACTTACGACTTCATTCTATTCATGTCTCTCATTTTTTTCGGGGTTATAGGTCACAATCTTCGGGGAAAGTGCTGGAGCACTCGCAATTGAACTGTTGATTTTGAATGACCAAGTACGCGGGTTGGCAAAGGGAGCCGTGAGTACAACTTGATCGTCGTCTCTTCTAATTTCTGATTATTTCAAGATCATGGAATCGACTGGCGGTATACCGATATTATCTCCATCAAATCCAGGAGCGAATGAAAAATGGAACGACTTTATTGCTGCTATTCCTCGTTGTCAGGCATTTGGCTTTAACGACACAGTAGATTGCATGCGGAATATCACTACCTCAGAGATCATAGAGGCGTACAATACTGCTGGCCTCTTTTTCAGTACATCTTCATCTGATTGGCTGCCTGTGGTTGATGGAGAAATAGTCCCCGATTTTCCCACCAAACTCAAACCCAGGAAAGGGGTGGTCAAAGCAATACTTATTGGTGCGAATTTAGACGAAGGTGCGTCGTAATTCATGGTTTGGAAATACTATAATTGAATTCCTCGGCATGCCTAGGAACCATATTAGCCCCACAAAATATAAATTCTTCTCAGCCCATTAGAGACGCGATTCTTTCGTCTCCTCCATCTCCTCCCAATGCATCACCACAAGAAAGAGAGATTCAACTGGAAAAACTTCAACACGTTGTAGAACAAGTACTCAAACTCTATCCTAATGATCCTTCTTTGGGATCGCCATTCGGGACTGGAAATGACACCTTTGGCTTGGATCCAGAATATAAGCGATTTTCAGCCGTCGGTGAGCGCCTTGGTATTCTTTGTTTCCGTGCAACAGTTAACTGGCGTCCCATAAGAGGGAGATTTGATTCTTCAGTCTTATCGTCGACATCTTATAAATGATCAGTTTCTAACAGCAGAAATTCCGACGTTTTCCTATTTGTTTGCTGATCCCGACGCTGTCGCTGTCCCAGATTTCGTTTCTGGCCCCACGGCTCCTGGATCATTAGGAGGTTTGTCAAGGCATTGAGTTCATTTGACAAATCGGTTCTTGTAATACTCACCTTTGCTTTGCCAGTTACACACTCCTCTGAGATATTCTATGTATTTGGAAACCTTTCAGTAGTGACCCCGACTGCGACAAATCTTAGCAATGCGATGATGGACTATTGGATCTCTTTTGCAAACAGCTTCAGTCCAAACGATGGTGCAGGAAGTGCTCGTAAGCTAAAAAAACTGTTTGTGAGAATTGTTTCCTCTAACTCGAACCAAGGTCCTTTTTGGTCGGAATATACTCTTGAAAATAAAGTGAGTCAATCAGCAGGTATCCATTATTTCATTATCGTTTTAAATGCACTTTATTCTTTCAGGTAATGCTTCAGTTGAATGGGCACAATACAACAATGATTCCAGACGACTTCCGCAAAGAGCAGATTGCCATTTTTAACGAGGACCCATCGCTCTTTGGGCGTTGATTTCTTTTCTTAATACTCTCTCAAAAGACTACGCATCTCTTGTGCCTTGGTAGTCCACTATAATGTACTTTCATACATACGAAGACACTAGTGAAATTGATAAAGGGCAACAAAACTGCCGTGAGTGAGAAGTAAGGGGTACAATTGACCGCCTCACCATGAACAGAGAAGGCTTGTAGTGGTTGTGATTGAAGGAAAATACAAGGATACATGTTACTTCTTGAAGAAGTACCAGTAAAAAGCCTAGCCAAATGTTTCGGCCTGATGGTCTAGTAGCATGATTCTCCCTTCGGGTTTGCCCGCTCTAATGCCAGAGTCCATTGGGAGAGGTCCCGGGTTCAATTCCCGGTCAGGCCCGTCTACCAGTGGGTTGTGTCTGCGGTTGTACCGGACTCAGGCGTGACCCACTGGTAGGTCATTTTGTTTGCTCTATGTATATCACATTAGGCGTACAGGCTGGCAGAATCATTTGAATGCAGGTACATTTACTCTAATCTTAAACATTTCTGGTACATTCCATTGCTAATTCTAAAGTCATCTTCAAGCCTCAGGCCTCCCCGCGAACTTTGATTCCACCTGTATCAACAACAGTTTCAGTAAGCGGATGATGCATTGTATCTGCGTAGACAGCTACGGGAGTCAACGTTTCTGATGAACCGTTATCTGGGTGACCTTTATTTGAAGTTTGAAAGTTGATCGACTCTTTGAGAACGACGTGACCGTTGGATATCCCACATGGAGTGTTACAGGATGGACATTGACCGGCAGAGTCGGGTCCAGTGAGCCACTAGATGGACGAGAATGGTATAATGAAACTTATAGATCATGAAAGGAAAGAGACTCACGTCAGTGATGTGCTCCAGACAATACAAGGTCTTGCAGCATGGCGTACGTCGAGGTTGGAAAGCTGGATCAAAACTTGTGCCCAGGTCAGACTTGTCACATCCGCATTGCACATAAACGACGCACCAGATGTTACATTCATTCTCATCTCCCTTCCTACTCTTTTGCTTCATTTTCCTTTGTCTCTGTTGATCCTCTTCCCATCTCTCTGAGTACGACTGAGAGTGCCAGTCTCGAGGTCGAGGAGGAACAGTAGTATGTACGGCTAGTCCAGACTCTTTCCATTCTTTCGCATGTTCTGGGTCTTCGGGCAGAGATACGGGGTTGGTCTCGGGGGAACCTTGAATATCTTCATGTAAAAGAGACTTTGGGGATTCGGCGCCGAGGTCTAGGTCACATTCCTCATCCGGGACAGCTACGTATAAGTAGGTCTAGTGTCGTGAAGGCAACGAACACAGACGACGCACCTGTTTGAATATGATTGGGAGCGTTCTGGCGGGGTTTCATTGCGGCGAATGTATAGTTGAGGTTCAGGAAACAACTGAGTGGTGCACTGTACGCTGGTTAGAGATAAAAAGTACTTCGGCTAGGCAAGTCTCGTCAAATTAATTACGATGTGACCTCGGTCCTGACAATCTGGAGCGATCTGGCTATGGCTAGACGTCATTGATGAACAGGACATAATGCGGCTTTGTTCGAGTTCCATTGCTGTCCCAGGTAGACTGACGTCGGCGGGTTGAAAAGTGGAGAGATAATTCGGGAACCTTTGCGATGCGTCATCAGCCACGATTCTACTTACGTGACGTCACTTACGCCGCGTGCCGGAAGCGAGGTATCAGCGCTGTATCCCCCGACTTTTGGAACGACTGCCCGCCTAGCTCAATCGGATAGAGCGTCAGACTCTTATGACGCCGGATTGGCATACTGGGGTAATCTGAAGGCTGCGAGTTCGACCCTCGCGGTGGGCTATACAAATCTTTTGGCTTAAGATTGTTATATAAATGGCATACTTCTTAAATAAAAACCAAGCACTCGCTACTAATAGAATACGGGAATCTCTTACGCAAAGCCCCACCCACATACTAGACAGGAAACTTGACCATTTTTAAAAGACCTTCAGCCGAAGCGAAAGCATAATTATAAGTAAACAAAATGTAACTATCTTTTCCATAGCGTTTGAATATTGTCTCTGCAAGCCTCTATTCTAATGCTTTGACCCTGAAATGGAGGACGGAGGCATCATGGCTATTTCTAAATCTTTTTTAGGCACCTCTATGGGTTCAAAATCCCATTGTGATGGTCTAGTCCAGTCCTCCACTGATGTCAATGTATGTGCAAACCTGGATACTGAACCGTTGGCAACGATTCCAGGATCCTCAGCATCTCTACCGCCTACTATACGAAAACGTGAGTTAAGGATGACAAGGATAGTGTTGGCGTATGCTTTTGGTATTAAAATGACAGGTGTTGTGTAGAAAGTCTGATTCGGAAAGACCATGTAAAGGATGAAGTTAATTGTAACGAGTGTAGCTATTTAGGATACTTGTGTCAGATTAAATTTTGATCCAGAAAGGTATGCACCTGTTGCAGTCCCAGTTTCGATTGTAAGTCGGATGAACTTGGATACCAACAGCTTGGTTTTATCCAACCGAGACTCGTTGCTTTTCCGCAGCAGCTATAAAGAATTAAAAAGACTCAGTTGCTCGAGATAAGAAAATTTGTAAGAGAGCTTACATAGAAAGTCATGCAAACAGCAATAAAAACATCGCAGAATGCTGCTCCTCCGCACCATATCTGGGTTTAATATTTGACATTCTGAGCCGTATGAGAAGAAAACCGCTTACGATGTCAGCAATGGTAGTAGGCAGATTGGTTAAATGATCAATTCTTCCTGTTTTTTTGACGTAGTATCCTACCATGAAACCTCCGGCACTACTCATGAATGCTAGCTGTATATGAAGTTGAGAATCAGCGCTCAGCGGCGTATGGATTTTGTAGAATTTGATAACTGGAAGTGCTTACTATACTGATGATGATAGGTAGCTTCCTGGAACCAGACAAAATCCAAACTCGATAGGCGAAAAACAATTGACCCACGCAGGAAACTGGTTAAACGGCTGACTGTCATTTGAAGTCTATGAAGCGTAACAAAAGATTACACACCGATTCCACTCATAACAGGCACTGTCAGCCAGAGCAATCCCATATGCGTCAGTGCTTCATAATTCCCAAATCCGGAACCATAGGAATGAAAGCCATCGTATGTAATCAGAATGGTTTGTACGAGTTCAAGGATATAGAGGGAGTAGACAATTGCTTTAAGAATGCGTTTGTCACGGGGGAAGGCGAGGTAGTAAAGGTCTATGGATCCGGAGATTTTATGAAAATAGGACAATACTGAAGCTGACCGTATCTCTTACAAAGCTGAACTGTTAAAGTTCCAAAGAGACCCCAATGTAGAAGATAACCTATGAACTTGATAAAGAATATTAGTCTAATATTCATCTTGATAATGATAAACATACGAGTGGCCCAGACCTAGCAAGTTGAAAAATACTAGCACTCAAATTATAAAGGCAAAAGCATAGGAATGCGAACTCACACAGCTGCAATAGTGATCCCGGGTGGAACTATCGAGTTTGTGTTATTGGATTCCATAAAGAAAATTATCAAGTTCGAGACCCTGTTAGGTGTTATATACCAGGCACTGTCTATTGATAAAGTGCACGCAGTCTTCTGCTACAGTGGGTAGTACATACGTTGTACATTTTTACTTCATTCATAGCTTCAACCATGGCCACCATTTCGCAATCCATTATGTTTGGAATAACTAAATAAACGAAAAAGTCCCGAAATTCAATAGGAACGCATAAGAAGAGCACCTTGCATTCATCAGAATTTTGATCTAAAATATGAAGATCATGAGGGTCTTGCTCATTCTGAGTCTTTGATATTGCAATCATTCCATACCATTGAGGATGTCAACCCGCTAAAACCCAGGAGCGCGGCCTGTGTACTGACTAGTATGGAGGCAAAGTGAGGATCTTATTCCAGCTGCCAATAACTTTTAGCTCAGACCTACAGTTGAGCTTGTATCAATAATTTTTACATAATTTTTAACAATCTCACATGGAAGTCTTCAAGGTGGAAATACATTGTATAACTCTCAGTTCTGCGCTGTTACAATTTTCTCCTCTTACCAACATACATTCCTTTGTCCTTCTATAATCACCATTTCATTTCCCTATTCCTTCATTCATATTCACATATCCTCATGTTTCCCCTATCTGGTCCCATAGTGTCTTTTATTCTTGTCCTCATACATACCTCACCTTTCCCTTTTTGCAACCAAAAATAAGTTTGTGATGAAAGACAAAGTTGTGAAATCAGCCCAGTTACATGTCACGCTGCAAGTGCGCGGCTAGATCAAAAAATGATATAAAATTCCGCGCGGATGCTAAAAATAGGGCAAAGTTCCGCGATTTTTTTTGCTTCAGATTCCGTGGCATACTACTATAGGGAACCAAAAAAGTAGAAACCCTGAATGTCAGCAGTTTCTAACATTCTGTTGACGGGGTGTTTGCGGCTCTCCCGCGGTTCCCCTACGGTTTACTGACAGCTCATGCAACCTGTGGTTTACCGACGGGTGAGCTCCTGGGCGTAGAATGCTCAACGATTTGTTTCTAGAACTGTAGTTACATGTATCCGAGCGGGTATCAGATTGATTTGGGCGCTGGTCTAGGATGGAGACATAACTTTTATGTGTATTTTATATAGCATCCATTGTCAAACCGATGACTCTAAATGGTTTCAATTGTTAGCGAGCGTCAAGAACTGTTCAAATTCCCGCTCAGACACAAAGCTCTATAGACCGCTGAAACTTGATTCATAATACAACTACTGGTATCTGATGTATAGGACCAGTACTCTGTAATGTTGGACGTTCGAGGCGCTAATTTTTATAGAACAATTTTTGTTTCGTGTCAACGAACAATGATCCTAGGAAACAGCGCATTTTACAAAGGCCCGGCGAATTCTCCAAGTTGTGGAACTATAAGTACCACATAAAGTTGCATCTCCTCTCATCCATCTCATAGTAGAAATGAAACCTGCTCTTTCTGGCCTCACTTTCATCGCTGTTCTCGTCCAGTTGATCCCCTGTATGTCTTTCAAATTATCATTTATCCCTTTTGCTCATTGATATTGTAGCCTCCGTCTTTGCACAAGACTCTCTTACTCTTCAATTTATCCCTGGTTCCGGCATCCCAGGTCTTGGAGACGTCCCAATACCCACAGCCGATGTAACTGCTGTACCTGTCAGCACAATAGACGGTGGAGCTGCCACAGTCTACGAAATTGCCGACAATAGGCCTGGAGAAATACATGTTGACGCCTCGGGGACTCATCAAATTACGGAAACTATTACTGCTTCTGCCTCTGGATGGACAATTTCAGTGGGTGTAGAGGGAGCTGGGACTGGAATCAAGTGCCAGAAATCTGACGGGGACAGTGGCAACGGTTCCTGTGAGATTCAAGCTGGTGCTGGAGGCGTCGCGGGTATAGATGTCACTCGTACGGGAGCATTGTCCAATATTGTGTTGCCTATTGCCACTGGAGCAGGTTCTTCTGGCTCCGATTCTGCGTCGGGGTCTAACAGTGGAAATGGAAGTAACAACGGCAACGGGAACAGCAATAATAATAACAGCGCCAGCCCGGTAGTAGGAATGAGAGTTGGATTGGGAGCGGTACTCGGTGGGCTAGTAATTGGGGGATTTATGCTGATTTAAATAAAATGCTAGAGAGGGAAGTTTGATTCTAGTGTTAGGCCCAGCATGGTATGTACCTACCATCTGTAACCTCTTTTGTTCCTCACTATAGCCTTGCTGTTAAATCATTTATTTATTCATGGTTTTATCAAACTGATATTTGACTGGTACACTTTATGAGCTCTCCTTTCAAGCTGACCTGGATCACAAACACAATCATATTTACATCATAACTGCAATTGTTTTGAATGTATTGCGTTTACTGTAATGTTCAATTGTGGTACCAAAAGACGAGTGGATTAGACTTTTCGACTTCGTTCTGGTCTATTTCCGTTCTTAGACAAAAAACAAAACGATAATGATGAAACTTGCTTGAATGGTCATCAAAAACAATAGAAAATGGGATACCTCATACAAGGCTGAATGATCAAAACTTCAAGGAGACGTTGAATAACCGCATGTGACGTGTGTAGAGTTAATATTATTAGCTAGAAAAAGAACCCAAATCTAAAATCCGCTTAATGATAAGTTGATGAATTTTACAACAGAGCGGAAGGAATATAAAGCGCGAGAGCTGTAACTAGTGAATGGGAGAGTTCAATTAGTAATACATACCTCACCAGTGGAGCAATTATCAGCCGAATCGGAATGGAAAAGAAGACTACTACCAAACTGAAAGTTCAGTTAGATATATTAAATGTTACCCAATTAAAGAAAACATCACCTGTCAATTTGTAGTAGTCTCCCTTTTGCGAGACATTGCTGTAACGTGTAGGTGGTACTCCCCTGTCATCGACAGTTTCAACTCCATAGTCTGAACTTCTGGAACTCGGTTCTTCTGTGGCATGAATAATTCCATAATTTCTCGCAATTTAGTCTGGGAACTAGTCTATAAATGTTTAGCGTAAAATTTAACCTAGAATCTGAACAGAAGTCATGGGTCAAAATGGGACTTCACGAGCGCACTAAAATAGGCCTTAGTATGCCTCGTGGATCGAAACTGACAACTGTACATGCCATAGGCATTCGAGGGGAATAGACTAGATCATTAGAAATCTTCCTACATTTCGAGGCCGGAGGTTTCGAGTGTCGTTGTCGGTATTTCCATCTGGTAATTTAATATACTGGAACCTATTCTCAGGCATTCAAGCTTCGGCTGTAATCTGGAACTTGAATTCAACAGTCTTAACGTATCTCCCAGC